TTTAGTTGCTTTCGTGGCACTTTTCCCAACTTTTTCCATACCAAATTTCGGTACTTTGCTCGAAAAACAGAAATATTTCGCCAGAAAAATAGAAATATTTCACACGAAAAAATGACTGGGGTCCCACAAACAAATGACTAGGAGCCCCCAGGTTTTGGGGGCCCGGGGCAATTTGCCCCCCCCCCTCTCGGCGGGCCTGGTGACCAGTGAAGATATGTCTTGTTACATGAAATTTGAACAAAAATGGTTGGCTTAAGAAGTGAAATCAATAAGCAATACATTTTTGATCTTAAGCAATACATTTTTGATAGATAAATATATAGTTATACTAAATCCATACTTAATATGTGATCTAGCTTATATAAATAGTTGGCTTTTCAAAATACGTACGTAAAGAATGAAAATGTTTACATTTTTCGGAGTGTCTATTGTTTTGTGATTAATGCAACAACCCCATGCTTCGCATATCACTGGCCACATGACATTATACACATGTTGGGCATAATCATTAAATTTTAAATACTTGGACTTGGTGTTTCAAATACTTCGATTACACGTGATTTTATACAAGAAAATAAAATAGGAAATCGTATTTAGAATTGGGTGTTGGCTACCTCAATACTATATTAGCACTAGTACTCAGCGACCAGCAATCGAAATAAATCAGCAGTTACTTTTACGGGTGCTCAGGAAACTGAAGCTGTATTTTTTTTTAAACAAACAAGCACATTAAACAACACTGATATATACAACAAATCAGATAGCACGCATTGGTCTTCTGTCGCGAAAGAAATGCGTGCCGCGCATGCAAGAAAACTGAGCTCTAGCACAATATATGACGAAAAATTACGCGTCATCAATCCCGTCAGCAAACAGATTGAACGGTTTCAAATGAAAAATGTGAAAAAGTATTAAAAATACTTTAAACGAGCAATCGAAGAAACTGAGTTCAAAGTTATTGCACACAATTGAAAATGAAAAAGCTTAAACTTTTCCTATGTTTTCTTGCAGGTAAGAATGACTTATGATAAACTCAAATTTAACTACTGTACATGTACTATCTCTTTGCGCAATCTTGCGAACCTTTTATGCACATTTTCTAGGGATGTTTTGTATGACAAACACCATGTTACCACTCAACAAGACAGAATGTTTGGAATGGCATAATATATATCGAGCAATTCACCAGGTAAAAAAAATAATGCAAATATGGATTTTTGGAGCATATTATAGTGTGCGTTTTTAAGGCGTATTTATAGGTTACGGAAAAATGTAAAAGTTCCAAAACTTCTAATAGTCAACTAATTTTAATTGAACTTCTGTTTTCAAGTGTAGATCTTGGAAAAAAATCTATGAAAAACTACTTTAAAAAACGCATTACCAAAGTGATATAACTTTTTATGATATATGCGTTAATAATGCGTGAACAACGCGTCGTGTAGCTATATGTACAAAAATAATCTTCTGTCAGCAAGTCAAAGATAAAACACCAAAGCGTTTTGGTTTTAAGTAACAGTTCGCCTTGATTTTAGATAAATATATGACAAGATGACGTGTAAAGTAACAAAAGGCAGTACGCCCGAAAAGCGCCTTTCGCGTGCACCTTCTGCAATGCAGGCTAAGAGATATTTAGCACTGGTTTAGCGTCTCTTAGAAAAAAAATATAGCTATATTCTTAGCCGCCCGAGACAATTGCGCGGCTGTTTTCGCAGGCTACTATAATGCAGTACCCCGAGCTAATAGGAATTTATTGACCAAGACAGAAAATTACAAGGCTATTTCTATCTCCAAAGGCATCTAGTTTGAACTGGTCTGACACTCTAGCTGACCATGCACAGGTGTGGGCCGATGATTTGGCAAACAGAGATGCATTTGAGCATGACAGCAGCAGAGGTCTTGAAGGAGAGAATCTTTATAAGAGCAGCCATGACAGCAAAACTGCGTGTAAAAGTGGAACTTACGCATTTTATAAAGAGGAGAAGTTCTACGATTATGACAACCCTGGCTTTTCACTGGCCGTTGGACACTTTACTCAGGTACTTTGAAAACTGGCTGCAGAACAAAATACCATTTCATTGCAACCATAAAGTAGGAGCAAAGAGGAAAGAGTATGTGCAGCAGGTTGAATACACATGCAGGACTGTTAGAATTTATATATTTCAAATGTGAGGTGGTGTTCAATAGTAAGTTAACTTCGTCATAGATAGCAGGATGTTACTATGAATCAGGCATAGAAAATACATTTCTCTTTCTGGCAGCAAAATACAAAAATAAAAACTTCCTGTGCAAGTGAAAAATAAGACTTTGTGCATGTGTAGACTTCAGAGAATATATGGTGCCGTACACTGTCATGCAATCTCGACACGTCAAGACAATCATGACTTGCAAAATGCTTTTGGAATTTTAAAAAAATAAGTAAATTATATGGCATTCCAGTATATAAGTAGTATATAAGTAGACTTGCATCAAGTCCATCTCTCTAGAGTCTAGCAGCATGCTCGATCCCTCGGACTCTGGAGAAACAGACTTGATCCAAGTCTAGTATATTATATAAGATGATGAAACTTTTGGTGTAAGAAAATTTCCTGCCAAGGTATTTTGTTAAAATTTCCTTGCAGCGTTGCTGCCGGACATTTTACAGCACTGCTACGAATGTTTCTTATAAACCTTTTTCTTTACATAGGTAGTGTGGTTAGACACAAAAGAACTTGGTGTGGCTAAAGCAAACACTTCCAGTGGAGCTGTTATATTGGTATATAGATACGCACCATCTGGAAACTATCTGGGAGAGTTTGCTGAGAATGTTAAACCACCTCTTGGAGATGCTTTTACATACACTGCCTCACTACTAGTCTGTTTAGTGCTTGGTATTAGCTCCATGATTTTGGGACTCACTATACTTTAATTAACTGAATTCTTAATTTAAATTATGAGGAAACAAGTTTAAGCATCGTTTTGTTAAAATGCATACATTAGTGGTGTACTGTATGAATAAAATGTTGTACGAATGAGGCCAGTGAGCCACTAGAAATTATCGAATGTATATTTCGCTAAAAAAAATTACAAAATTGTCTTAGCCTGCATCACAGACTTCAAAACACATGTTTTATCAAAAACATGATAAAACATGTGTTTTGAAGTCTGTGACGCAGGCTAAATTGTCTGAGCTTTCATTGTCTACAACATCCACATCAGAGATTACAGGTAAGAGCCTATTTACTATTTAGCATTTCACTTGTTCAATTGGATATCATATTTAATCTGCAATACACCGGTCGAAACATTTTTGCATAGAAAATTTAGTAGTTTGAAGCATAGAGAAATTTGCAATAAATAACAAGTGTCAATAAAATATTATTTTGATTTTAAAAATCAAAGTCCAACAATCACTAATATTTCAGTCCAGCCAATCAGAACCCATTAAGTTCAACTGCAACAAATCAGAATCAACTACCCAGATCAGGGTAGTGCTGCTGGGCATCAACAAGCAAAGATATGAATTTTCATGGACTGCATTACAGCATAATACAGTAAGGCAGTTGGAAACAAATTTCGGCGCTAAGATAATAGAGGACGAACATAAAATAAAAGTACAAAAAGTCCACAAGATCAAGTTCTAACAAAATTTTATGTTGCCATGGTGAAAACATCACATCATTAGAAAATTTTCCTACCAACCCACACAAAACTTCAATTTGACGTTTTGCATGGCCCATGTATTTTAAAATTTTAGGCCACATCGATATTCATGTTGCCACAAATAATGTTGAATTGACGTTATTACTTCACCCACCCACTCTCGATATTTGGTTGCATTTTGACTTTTGTATTTATAATACAAAAGCTGTACTGTTTAACAGGGGCGACGTCCATATTCATGTTGCCACAAATAACGTTGAATTGATGTTTATATTACTTCACCCACCCACTCCAGATAACGTCGATCGATATTCAGTCGTATTTTGACTTTTGTATTTATAATACAAAAGCTGTACTGTGATAGTTACTTTAGACATTAAAAATTGTAAAATTGCCACGAGATAATGTCGACGAGTTAACATAAAAACCCACCCACTCATGCATAACGTCAAAAAACCCACACGCTCACAATGTCGACTCGACGATATTTGTGGCAATATGAACATAGACGTGGCCCATATTATTATAAAGAAAGGTTTGAAAGCGAAGCTTAAAACTCTCTTGGGCTATTGCATTTAAAATCCAAATCCCCCTTGTTGAGGATCTATCTTTTGTAAACTCCCCTAAAGAATTTAGATTTTTATGAACCCGCTGAAGAATTCCAGTCTGAAAATGTTGAACGCCCGAAGAATTCCAGATTCCTCAACTGGAATTTTCGACAAACCGCCGAAGAAATATTCCAGTGAAATCTTCAGTTTTGACCATTGGTTTTGACAAGACAGTACAGTGTCAATATAGGAAGCATGCACTAGATAATTTAATAAACATTCAAGTAAATCAGAATATCACAGCAACATTACTTTTAAAGCACTTACCACAAAACCAGACAAAATGTAGATAGAACGAGAATGCGGCCTAGCTTGCGAGGGAAATATAGAACGAACCCAACCGATTCGCCCATTCACAATTTCACACCTGTTAACTGGTGCAAACCACGTGCAAACCAATGGTTCACAACAGTGATTCTGTGAATCAATGATTATGGTTCACACTTCACACACGATTAAAAATTGGCCATAACATTGAGCGTGCTATAAAACAGTCAAAAATATCATTTCTAAGAGTTTTATTTACATAGATGAAAGCCTGAAACATCACAGGAATGCTATAAATCAGCAATCGTTTTCCTTCGGCGACATTTTTTGCGGCTGGCGGCCGACAGCCGTGACATCCGCCGTGTAATATGCGACCTGGGCCGAGTAGCAAGCTTCCAAAAGAAGCATATTTTTCGTTTTTATTTACTTTTAAGTAGACTAGAAATATTATTTTAGTTTATAATATATATAAGAAATACATTTAAGGTGTAAAGAAAGTTAAACGGGAACGTACTAAGCAGGAAAAAAAATATTTTTGACAAAAACAGAAAACGTTTAGCAGAGAGTGGTTTCGATCCACCGACCTCTGGGTTATGGGCCCAGCACGCTTCCACTGCGCCACTCTGCTCAACTTGCTTTTCCAGTGGAAATAATTAATATATATAGTTTTCGCTGACGTAAGCCACACTCGTGAATACTTTATGACCCCCCACCTAATAGTAGTATCCCCACCTTACCTAAGCTGGATAATGAACAAATGACGAACAAATGTTACTAGGCCTTCATTAATGGAGGTAAATACGCAGACGAACTATGGTCAGAACCCAGGGGGTTGATAATAGGGTAGACAATATTAAAGGGCAATTCCTCCCCCTTCCATCTGTGAAAGACAGATGAAAATCTGATATCCTTGACCCTCTGTCCTCGACATATTTCCGCACATGGCCCTCTGTCCTCGATATATTTCCGCACATGGCCCTCTGTCCTCGACATATTTCCGCACATGGGCAAGGGCAACCCAGTAAACTATATACAGTTCAGTGGGGCAACCTCGTTCTCAAGGTCTTTCCTCTTGAAGAGGGGAGAAAAGACCCTGGTCAGTGGTCACGTGCTAAAATCTTGCAGATTTCTAATAACCATCTTGGATTCCTTTACGACAAACATACAAAAAGCAGATTATAAATAAAAAATCATCCAAATATAAAATATTTATTAACCTAGCAGATTTCTAATTGGCAATCGAAGATGAGATTTTAGCAGATCACGTTACCGTCTTTTCTCCGTCTAATATTTCTATGGGGAAGACCCTGGGTACGAGGTTGGGACAAAGGGTCGCTAGCCTTCTCGCAGCCCAAAATTTCAAACAAATCAGTTACGCAAGGGTCGCCTGGTCTGCAGGCTCCCTAGCCTGCGAACAGGCTCTCAAGCCGAGGCACGATCCGCAAGGTAGATCCAGCCATACGACAGGCGTGTGTGACAAGGTACTTAAGGTTCAGGTTAGGGGCCATTCACAAAGGATGTCCGGCCAAATGATGGATTTTCAGACCCCCCCTCCCCCCCTTGTCCGAATTAGTGACCCCCCCTCCCCCCGGACATCCGCCATGCCTCGCAAAAACTCACGCAACCTTGTATATATCAAGAGTAAAAAACTTTTTTTACTTTTAGAACTTTTTTATAACTGTAAATGTGAACACAAAAACATATAAATTACTAATTAAAACAAAATCTAGTGTTAACCGCACAGTCAAAATGCCAATTTCACAATGGGAAGGACTGCTCAAAATAGAGGGAAAAAGAAATTTGTTTTTGAATTTTTTTAAATTTCGGACATCCGGATTGCTAACCCCCCCCCCCTCCCCGAGTTTGTCCTGATATTCCAAATCCCCCTCCCCCCCTCGGCTCGGACATCCTTTGTGAATGGCCCCTTATGATAAAAGCAACAAATAAATAAAAAATTTTCAAAAGTGCATCTGAAGTCCTTGCAGAGTAAACGCGAATGCTCCCAGCAGTTGACAAGTGACTGCGTCGCATCACGTACTGAATTTTGAAGTCACGCGATATTTTACATATACACGAAGAACGTAACCCCCGCCACCTTAAATCCACTTTTTGTCCAGAACCTCGAAAGACGAAAGTGCAAACTGTAAAATTCTTCAATATTTTTACAATACTCAACAGACTAAACAGGCAACAAAACACAAAAAACAGCGAAAATAATTTATGTATAATTTATGGTGTATAATGATACGCCAAGAAAAATGAGCTATATTGTATAATTTCTAAGGTCACACCTATAGAAAATCTATCAATGTTGCTTCGATCGACCTTGGAAAAGGTACAAGTTATTCGTAGCTGCAACCGCAGTAATATTGTCCAATGGATGCCATGCAGTATGCAAGATTTTTTTGTTGAAGTCTAAACATTCTAAAGTAATTTCGTCCTTCTTTCGTTTGCCCGACGTGGCGACTTTCTTTAACTCCAGAGCTTGCTTGGGTTTCGCTCCTTCTCGCGAGGCTTCGAAACACAAATCTTCCTTTGTCTCACAGTTGAATATGTGAAAGAAGTTGTTATAGGATCCCGTCATGATGGATCTAAAGTGGAGAAGAAATAGTTATCCCTATGGGTAATCCGCTGCCAAAAACACTTTGTTCAGACTGTTACATTACACTTCACTCATAGTTACATTTCACAGAAGTGTTGCACCGTGTTTTCAGTTTTCCTGGAAATTTTTAAGACAAATTCTCGATCAAAAGTTGCTCTATAGCTGTTTTTTAAACTATTTCACTCTTCTGACTACAACTGTCTTTATAATAGTATTCTGGTTGTCCCATTCTCTTTTTTGTGTCTTTAATTCCCAGTAACCCAAATCGCATTTTCCCAGTCCAAAAAAAAGGCAAATCCCACATCATGTGTCAGCGAATTAAATGGCAACGCATAAACACCATAGTCTTCCAACGCTGTTCTTTCAAACATAATAGATAAAACAAAATAATCTCTGCCATTAACTTACTTGTCATCTCCACTCCATGAACATTCAAATTTATCAAAAATACAATCATTTTCATACAATGAACATAACTTGGTCTTAAGATAGTCATGAACATTGAAAACCTCTACAGGCGTCTTCTCCATATTGAGATCCCAAACTTTGACAGTGAGGTAATCTCGCGTCAACATATATCTACCACTGCGACAAAATCTCACGTCTGATATGGACGATATGATTTCAGAGAAAAATGACTTGCTAGCAGGATCTTCTGGTTGTTCAAATACTGGAAATATAAATAAAGCGAGAGGGTTTGTTTAAAATTGAGCATTAAAAACATTTTTAAAAGATATCATCTAAGAAATAAACTTATTGATACACTGATTTGAATATATGTAAAGTAGTTTTGTAATGACACCCTAACGGGATCATAATTGTGAATAGACATTTATTTATTCATGTAATAAACCAATTATAATCACAAAGTGACTGCAAATTCAATATGATACGACTGATACGGATGTATACTTTATGTTCTGCTGCCAGGGATGCATATAAGCATTTGCTCCTCCTTGTTGGGTTTGAGGAGTCCAAATGAGGAGATAAAGATGACAAAGAATAAAATTTGCCGAAATAAGATTCTCGAAAAGTTTGAAAATTTCTTCCAACTGCATAATTTGTTTAAATTTTCTCTTATACATTCAACAAACTGCAACAAAGCATAACTAAACAATTGGCAGCAGCCTTGTCTGTGGTCAAAATAACTTTAAAACTTTGAATATTCGCTAATCAACTTTTTTGTCAGACTATTCCCAAATAGAGGAAGCAAGTGGCCCTTCCAAATTTGGGAGTGGAAAAAAGTAACCCTACTGGTAACTATATACATCCCTATCTCCTGCTGTATGTTCTTATTCCTATTAAATGAAACTGCATGCAAAAATCATGCAGGTTGATTTTTTATTATGAATAGAAAAGGCACCTTGCATAACTTGGTAATGGTGACTTACATTTTGCATGCCGATCACAGAGGGCTGCTTTCCTCATGTCACACAATCTGACAGTTCCTTTACTGCTACTATAGGCAAAAATATTACATTCTACAGGGTGGAACTCTGCAGCAGTTATCACTTCTGTTAGTTCCTCCATATTGGCTGGTTTGATATCTACAATATCTGAGAAAGTACTGTTAAGGCAGACAAGTTTCTTCAAGGTGGTGGATTTTTCTAGGAATCATCTAAAAATTAGATTCAACTAGTGCATGGTGAAATATGACTGAAATCCACATGACATCATTTTTATGTAATTGGTTAGCGGAATGAACCCCCACACCACTAAAAAATATTCACCCCTTCCTTTAGACAGGACTGGATCCAGCCCTCAAGCTACCTGATTTGATTCATAAGTGGGCAACACACATCATAAATATTAAATTTATATAAAATGGGCACACAAATGCACACTGTCATAAAAGGATACTAAAACTCTGATTTGTAATTCCAAGGTGCCACAAATTAATCCTAAGATCATCTGCAGATAGATATGTTTCATCATCACTATTTATAGATATTGAGTTAATGTGGTACGTATGAGCATTTGCGAAGATTTTTCTAGGACTGGCTTCGACAGTCAACTCCGAAGGCCTCAGAACTGGTACTCTCAATTCAGTTAGGTCGTCAGGCGACAATCCCATTCCTCGATCATCACAAAGATTGAATCCCTCAGCTCTAGTACATCGTTCAGATATTTTCCACAATTTCACTGTTTTGTCTGTAACAGATTGAATTTTGAAGAAAAGGCTTGATTATTGTGGATAATAAGACTTTAGAATGCTTCAGAGATACCATACGACATTGTACGCTCCATAGCAAAGTTGGTGCATGTCATATCAATGTTGACGTACGATTTTCTAAACTAGTTTTACCCTGTATGTTCTCTGCTTGATTACTTCCAGTACATAGGGAAAAAATGTTTCACAAGCATTTGCCAAATAACTAATACAAAAGCAACTTTTTATTAATTTCCTTACATGATACCTACCATTTGTCGAGAGAAGAAAATGTGCTTGGTTTTTTCTTCTTAGCCATTTTATTTGGTTAATTTTCTCTTCGATTTCCAAGCTTTTGAGGTAATCAAATTCAGGTTCATGACTTTGAAAAGTGCTGTATACTGTGTATTCACCATATCGTGGTGAACCTTTAGGCTAAAATAATAAAATTGAACCCTTTCATTGAACCATTTTGTAAGTTTTCAAACTACACATGATCAGACTGATCTGTCTTAATGGGTCATTCCAGAACACACTCCCCTTGTTGCTGTCCTGGGGGTATTTGAATAATTTTTCACAATATTTAGTTGATACTGGTTTGGTGGAATTGGTTTTGACCCTATACCTGTGTACCATTATTGCAGTATACCAGAAATCATACCATGCAAAATAGCATATAGATCAGATATTAACATGTTAGAACATCATTATCATTTTTTCTATTTTTTCTTAGATGTTCGGGTTATTGGATGTTAACTGTATTTACTGTAGTGTACACATGTATTCACAATTAAAAAATATTGTAAAAATATAATGGTCTGCAATATTTTTCAAAAAATATTAGGTAGCTATTCTATTAGGGGAGTATTCCCTGTTCTAGCTTTCCTGTAACACAATATTTTTTGTTGCTAAACCAAATAGTAACAATAAAGTATTAAAATTCCAATACCGCCCAACTCTAAACTGAAGGAACACACAGTAGTGTCCCTAATGGAAAGGTGTCATTAACATAGAAGAGTTTTTACAAGGAAACGGATTGTTCCAGAAAAGATCCAAGTGACATGGAGGACATTACAGTGCGTCTACAGTAAGTGGGGCCACTTACAGAACACTAACCAATCACATTGAAGAACAGAAATTGAAAAAATCAACAAACGGCGCATTAGCCAATCAGCATTAGGCCAAAAACAATTTGAACAAATAAATGAATGTCAAATGGTAAAAATAGACATGTAAAAGTAAACACTGCAGTTACAGGTAAACTACGTGAAGCGTTCCTCTTTTGAGTTTCTAAATTGATTGCAATTTTCCTCATTACTTTTGCAATTTAAAAAACTCCCTTGCAAATCGCTTGAGGGAATTTGCAATGTTGCTAAAAGCCAAAAAAATTTTCCTCAGTTCCTGTTAGAAGTTCTTAACTTCCTGTTACAAGTTCCTAACTTCCTGTTCTGTTTTGGGCGTTGCAATTGGCTAACAAAAATAATCGACCAATAACAACGCTCAGAACAGAACAAGAAGTTAGGAAATTAAAACAGGAAGTTCGGAAAATTTAAAATGAAGTTTGGAAAATTGCAACAGCCGATAGGAACATTGCAAATTCCCTCACGGGATTGGCAAAGAGTTTTTCAAATTTGCAAAGCTAATGAGGAAAATTCCGAATGAGTTACGAAGTCAAAAGAGGAACGCTTCACGTAGTTTATCTGTAATGGCTTCCTGAATCTTTCTTTTGATTGGATGAGCTTTAGTTTTGATTAGATTTTTCTTTCTGTTCTGCAATGCAATTGGTTAGTGTTCTCTAAGTGGCTCCACTTACAGTAGATGCACTGTAATTCCATCCGGAAGGGGAGGGAAGAAAATTTACTTCTGATAATGGTAAAATGTGCTAGGCCATCTAAAGGGGCGGGTATGGGAATTGACTTCCAAATTTCTCTGTGGGGGAAGGCATGGATGTTTCCTGGGGGAAGGCATGGATGTTTCCTGGGGGGAGGCGTGGATGTTTCCTGAATGATGTGCACACAATAACTGTGTAATATGTGTGTTGGGAACTTGGAATTCTCTTAAGGTGTCCATTCTCTTAACAAAGGTGTCCATGTTGAGAGGCTTGACTGTACCTTAAAGGAGTTGCTTTGCCAAATGTACAGGGATAACAGAATAACCCCACATTGATAATTGTCGAGACAAGGAGCTAATTTACCAAATTAGTACTACATTTAATACTATACAAATATTTATATTTGGTGATTGTTTTTAAATGTGGTTTATTTGTTATAAATTTGGCAAACAAGTCATAAAAGTTAGAGTTTTAGTGGTTTAGAAACCTTAATGTCAATTTAAGACGACAATTGTGATCAAATAATCTTTAAACAGTAAAAGAAATATACTTTGACAACTAGATGAATTAAGCCCCAGACATTCTACGCAGTACCGTTTGCCAATGAAACCCGATACTTACGGCATTTTCTCGTTGAAATATCACAATTCTGCCACCCTTGTCACCTGTTGCTAACAACTCTCCATCGTGATTGAACTCAACTGTTGAAATTATGTCAGCTTTGGGGAAAAGAAACAAAGTTTTAGTGCTATATACGAGCGAAAAAACGTGTACATTTAATAATGCATGTACAATGTCATAGATTTTATATATACAACTATTAATCAAGACAAAGGCACAGAGCCGATATCATATCAAATAAACATTGTAAAAAATCGTAATTTGCTCTCAAAACCAACCGAAGTAACTCACTAAGGCAATATCATAATAGTGTCTTGTTGTCCAAAAAATATTTGGTTCATTTTCGAATTCGAAATCGAGTATTTTATGGTTGCTTTTTAACTAAATTCCATTTTGTTGTTTGCAGTGTTAATTTTACGGGTAGGATTAAACAAGAACACTCGCCTACCCTCTGTGACTTCTTCTTCCACAGTTCCTTTAACTTGTGAGAAACACCATTCAACATCATCGGTTCCTGCAGGAGAAATAAAGTCGAATGATTTCATGTCGGAATGGCAGCGAGCCCAGTCGAAGCCTTGCACTCGAGAAATTGTTGCACCTACCATCAGCCATTGAGCCGAGCTCCTTTCTTTATTCATAAAAATAATTAACTATTTTAGTAGTAAAATATATAAAGAATAATAGTTTTTGGAAAAAAACTCTTAATAATCACACGACGGGCGAGGATGGCCATGGATTTCACTCGCCGCCATAACGCAACAACTTTTTGAATTTCAATATGGATGCCGGGCTGCTGGAATAAAACTTCCCAATTGGCCTTTTCCTGGTCATACCATATATGGGCATGAACCCAACCAGCCGCCGGCCGCAAGTGCATGACCAAGAAATTTTTTGAACGAATTGTTGAAGTGATAAAAAAAAGTGGATTCATCGACTATTGATTCAGACTGTTCGGAAACTGAATAATTTTGGATTCTTTCTTTGCATAAAAATACCCCCAATGTCCCCAATAAAGACGCCATTTTTTGGGTGGGTTTTCCTCCTATATGAATTTCAACGCTTCAGTCTCGTACGGGGGACAGCGGCCCCTGACCTAAGCGTCATTTGGCTTGCAAGGATGGACACGACGCCCACTAACCCCCGGCTCTTGCCACAGACAGGTCGTATCAATGGCGCAACTCCTTTGGGCACCACCTGGGAACGAAGTTGCCGGGCACCACCCGGCCTCTGAGCAATCAGGATAATAAATTGGCAAAGTTGATTTCATCGAATTTTACTTGGCGCAGCCTCACACCGCCTCCCCACTTTGAATAGGCAGGATCAGGGGGAGGGTGTCCTCCTAAGTTAAAGCTGGGGCCCTTTAGCAAAAAATTGCGCCACTGGGCAGTTCAACTCCAAATCGGTCATATCAAGAGAGTATATAGATATTTTGAATCTCGAAGTCGAAAACAATAACTATTTCAGCCTCGAGTTCATGCTATATAGTTTCGTGTGCACTCCGGACAATTTCGGAAAGTATCTACAATAGTGTATTGCAGTATTAAAATGTGTATAGGTCGTATAGGAGCATAAGTTACAATTTGAATCGATGGAAAGCCGCAGTTTCAAGTTAGAAAAACCTGTTTTCCAAACCGAACCGAACCGTGATCAAACGAGGACGAGTGCATGAGAGTTGGTACGTGACCATGCCCATGGTTAGCTATTCTTAAACTTTCCGAACACTAGAATGTATTTTAGGGCCTGTTCATATGGGCAAAAGTTATCCCGGTTAGCGAGAAAACTTTTCGACAAGTTTACCGGCGAGATCTCGCCTTGGTATGAAAATAATATGAAAAGTTACACTGCGTTCATATAAGGACAAAACGTTTTCCCGTGTATATACCGAGATCTCGCTTGTTGACAGGCGAGATTTCGGTAACCGGGATGTTTTTCCCATATGAACACAACTTTCCCGCTTAGCTGGATAACTTTCTGTCGTGTCAGTAACTTTTCAATTCAATTGATGTTCAGTGCAACGTCACAGCCCGCCGGAAACTTTACCCGGTAAACGTGATAACGTTCAGGCATATGAACAGAACAAAAGTATTTGGCTAGCCGAAACGTTTTCTCGTTAACCAGGATAACTTTTGCCCATATCACAGGCCCTTATTAAACACTCATCAAACCCTTAGTTGTTGGTCAGTTCAGTCCCATCCTTGTTTGACCAGGCCCTTCTGGGCTTAACGTACCGTAGAATATTGTAGTCTAGTGGTGCGCAGGAAACAAAGAAAACCGTAACGTTTCGGATACAATAAAGTTGAAATGGAAGACAGACTATTAAAAGACCAATGAACTTCGAGTGATGTCGAAAGGACTTGGAAGGTCAAAGAACCCGCAAAGCCTTGACTTGGCAACTTTGGAATCATACGAGGATCAGAGATAAAACGTTACATTTTAATTGTCGTATCCTTTGCAAGGCAGTTAGTTAGGCAGGCTCCGTTTTACCCTTTACGTCGAGCCGTTCACCTACGCTCCCACCCTTGCTTGGGAGGTTGAAAAGTATAAAGAAACTGGGAAAAGAATTCATATGCATGAAACACTTCAAAGTTGACAATTTTTTGCTGTGTTTCAGGCATGACACTATCAATGACGTAGTCAGAAGGGGCATACTCTGGGTACGTCATTGAGCCCCTCCTGGCAAAATACAGCCTCGTACACAGGGCCTTTGCGCGGTGCAGAGGCTTCCTTTACCAAAGCCTCTTAATAGTGCCTTCCCAAAATATTGCCC